GTTGGCGAGGTATTACGGCAGCAACGATGCTCGGGACGAGCGAATCTAAGAGGGGGGCAGTGTGACAGAAAACTCTTTGACATCATGACGTCAATGGATGGTTGTCAAACGTTGCCTAGAGATTGTAAATTTCGTCGTGAATTGTCAACACGAGTTGGTGTAATCGGTAAGGCGTGTGGATTACACCACAGAGACCCCGAGTTCGAGTCCCGCCGTAAACATGAAGTTTTTTAGTTGATGGAAGTTTTGTCGAACTTTCTGGAATATTTGAGTGAAAGTGATGAAAAATTAAGGAGCGAGAAGAAGAATAAATAAAAATGAATAACGAAATTATTGGAAGATTCTGGAGGCATGACGATCAAAAAGAATAACGAAATTGAATGTTCTAGAACCTGACCGGGGGTATATAAGCGGAACTGCGGCTCACCGCTGGCAGTTGAGTTCTAAGTCTAAAGCGATTCGGAAGAAAAGGAAGAAGTGAGAAAGAAGAAAAGTGAGTGAAATAGTGAAGTGCAGTGAAATAGTGAAGTGCAGTCAGTTAAGTGAGTTAAGTCAGCGTGAACGGCAAAGTTGTGTCAGTCGGCCGGACTCTGCTGGAGAGGAACGCCGATAACTTAACTCCGTGGACGCTGTAACTTAAGTGCAATAGAAAGTCTGAAAACCGGTATTAGTGTTTCATTTCATCCAATCCCGTAACCCAAGCCCGCATAGTCAGGAACGTGACGTCAGGCACGTAACAATATATTGGGATACCCTGCCCTATCTGAGTAGCAAAATAGTAAATGTCTATTGGTACAAGTGCATACAAATATGGCATCTATTTCAAAGAAGTTAGCGTTTTGAATAGAATGAATTTGTTACAGCGCCATCTAGCGTTGAGTGGCTGAACCCGTTTGTAAATTGTTTTATTTAAGTTTTTTACACGATAGGCGCCCTTATTGATTGTGACATGTGAAATGATAACAACTTTCGCTCATTGTTATAAGACTCAATTTTTAACAACATTTAAAAGATGATTTGCTAAAGTTGCGTTTCATCTTTTTACCCAATTATATAGCTGTTTTTTATGTGTGTAATGAACAATTTGATTTGCGAATGTGTGATTTTGGCGACACTGGTTTTCCTTTTGAAAGAGTGTAGGGGCACTTCTACTTAATTTTCTGTTCTGTGTTGAAAACAAAAATAGTGAATTAAAAATATTTTAATATGATCAATTCTCATAATTTTGACTAAATACGAAACAAAATTCTGAAAATTGAATAAATCGTACTCATCCCAATTTTTATAACTTTCTACTTACTTTCATTTTAAAAATAATGAAACCACCTTAATCTTTAGAGGCTCCTTAATTACAGATAACAATTTGAGGTTCCTAATAATTTCCATATCTAACTTCAAATAAAAAGCAATAAACGAGTGGGTCCGCTTGACCGTAATGATAACATGGCCTTACAGAATACCGGCGTGAAGCAATATTTACGTTGTGTTTCGCCGTGGAGCAAGATGACTGGGGTCTCAACCGTTTCCCCAATCCTCAATCTTCAAATTTCGTATCCTTGAATTCCTAATAAGTTAATAACCCAAATGAGACCGGAAAACTTATATTAACTCCTTTGGTATTACGAGTCTCCATGGGCAGCGTCGATAACTTACCATCAAGTAAACTTTATCCTCCGCTCATTTGCCGACCTATTTATTTATTTATTTATTTATTTAATAAGTACAGTGACAGACTACAGGTTAAGACAATCAAGAAAAAACAATAGTTAGCATACAGTACATAAATCTGAAGTCCAATTATTCCTGTACATAACATTCAAGTATTAATATGCTTCGTTAGAGACAGTAAAGTTGAGGTACTTAATATTAAGAAGCTAATACATGACTAAAACAATTAATTACAATTTATTTAAGCAATTTCTAAATTCGTTGAAACTGTTCAAGAACAAGTCTACCTTAGGGCACATTGTATTATATTGATTGCACATTTTGGATAACGGGTTATTCTGTGAAACATTATTGTTACTAGAGGGAATACTGAATAATTGTGGAATGCGTACAGATCGAGTGGGTATCTTAAATCTTAACTGGTCAAGTAAGTTAATATCAAAAGAACCATTGGCAATTTTATGCAATACACTTAAATCACTAATCCATCTCCCTCTCTCAAGACTCTTCATGTTAAAGTGGGTGAGGCGCTGTTTGTAATTGGGGAGTTTACGTCTTAGACCACATTTTGCACTTAAGTTTCTGACAAACCTTCTCTGTATAGATTCTATGCGATCTATGTGGTTATTGTACATCGGAGACCACACAGAGGAGCAGTACTCCAATATAGATCTAACTAGGGAATAGTATAGTAATAAGTGTGTTTGCGGATTTTTAAATGGCTTGGAATTTCGTAACACAAAAGATAGTAAACGATTGGCCTTATTGCAAATGTGGTCGTAATGGGGTCTAAATGACAACACCGAATCAAACATAACACCCAGGTCGCGTACCACTTTTACCCTATCCACTACTACTCCTTTAATTGTGTACTTATAATTAATAATATTTTTACTATTTTTTGAAAAGGTTATAATCTGACATTTTTTGATGTTAAGTGACATCGAGTTCTCATCACACCATTTAACAATTGAAGCAATATCTGATTGAAGGATCTCACAGTCTTGGTTATTTGAGATACGCCTGTAAATTTTTATATCGTCTGCATAAGCTAAACATTCGCTATTAATTTTACTCAGTAGGTCATTAACAAATACCAATAATAACAAAGGACCCAAATTCGATCCCTGGGGCACCCCAGACGTTGCTTCAAATGGTATAGAGTCATATCCGCTTAGTGCGACCAACTGTGTACGATTTAACAGATAGGATGAGAGCCATCTATAGAGAGTCCCGTGAATCCCGACGTGATACATCTTTGCAAGTAGTATAGAATGATCCACCCGATCAAAGGCTTTCGAAAAATCCGTGTATATTGAGTCAACCTGACGTTTACAATTAAATGAATCACATAGATATGTCGTGTAGCACAGCAAATTAGAATTCGTCGATCTACCAGTGATAAATCCATGTTGTCGTGTATCTAAAATGTGCTTAAGATGAGTATACATGTGTTCGTATACAAAACCCTCAAATAATTTGGCAAACAAGTTCAACATGCAGATTGGTCTGTAGTTTGTGACGTCACGCCTATCACCAGATTTGTAGATAGGCGTGACTTTTGCTATCTTCCATAAACTCGGAAATGTACCCTCCTGTAGAGATTTCTCAAATATAATTTGTAGGGGAGTAACCAGGGCAGTAGCACACAACCGAATAAAAATAGGTGGTATAGCGTCGAAGCCCCCATTCTTTGATAGATCGATATTTTGTAATTTTGTCAAAAGTTCTTTTTTTGATATATATAAACTGCCTATGGGGTAATTGGATGGCTGGAAATTGGGAGTATAGTTATCAGTTTTACTAGCGCAGTATACAGAAGAGAAGTAACTTGCGAACAGATCAACTATATCTTTACCCGTATTGCCCACACTATCGTTATAATACATACAGCTAGGAATGTTATTTGTTACGCGTTTATTCTTGGTATAACGCCAGAAGGCTTTTATATTGAACTTAAGACCTTCTTCGATCCGCTTAATGTACTCTTTAAAGCAGTCATTTGTGGCAATTTTAGCCCTTGCTCTCAGTAGAGAGAAAGTGTCGTAGTCTCTGGGATTACCAAAACGTTTATACTTAGAGTGAGCTTTAGATTTAGATAAAAGTAATCTTATTAAACTCTTTGAAAACCATACCGGGTACTTACTACTTCCGATTCTAACTTTAGGAGTATACTTTTCAATGATCTCATATATTTTATTATAAAAAAACTGCGTAAAGTTGTCACAACTCATACCCAAGGCATGTTGCGTCCAATCTATTAGTGATATGTCTCTTTTACAACTATCATAGTCCGTTTTACGAAAACATAGTTTTTCAACATAGTTGTGCAACACGGAAGATGCCGCTTCGCTGCTGAGTACGAGTTCAAATGGGGGATGATGCACGTCAAGGCGACTTATAGGTATGGAAGGCGTTAAGGTGAACAGGTCTGGACAATTAGTGATAGCCAAATCCAATATTCTACCATTAAGGTTTACTAAGTGATTGAGTTGACTAATAGCGGTCGATTGGAACAAGTTAAATAGTGACGTAGATTTTTCACAGTTGTGATTTAGAGGACACCCCGTCTCTATTAACCACTTGATATTACCCAAGTTTACATCGCCCAGGATACACGTCATGTGATCTGATGGATTAGTGATTATGTTACCGCATTTGTTGAAAAAGTCACAGACAGTCGTCACTGGAATATAGTCTGGAAGATAAACAACACATAAATTTATTGTAAGGGACCGGTTAACTACAATTTGAACCCATAAATCTTCTAACAACTCAGATTTCCAGTCTTCTTTAATATGGAGTTTTTTTGAGTAGGCAATGAGCACCCCACCACCATGGTTTTTACCGTACCGAGAGCGGAACGCAGCATCTCGATCTCTACGCACTACACAGTATCTGTCATCAAAAATTTCAGAAGACAGTATGTTATCATCGAGCCAGGTTTTACATAAGCAAATGATGTCATAATTATTGCAGAGTACAGTGTTATAGATATCAATAGTTTTACTTTTCATACCTCTAATGTTTTGCTATCATATAAAAAAATCGTTCTCATCCCAAATTTCTATTACTTTCTACCTTCAATATAAAAATAATGATTCCACCTAAATGGTTAAGATCTTCACTAAATTAAGAGGTCCTAATAAATACTACTCTTAATAAAGAACAAAAAACAAAGCAAGCAAAAAAACATGCAACGATGACGTCAAAGTCGAGACATCATTACCATGAAAGTCAAAGTCAAAATCATTTATTCCAACTAAACCACAAATAGGTACTTTTGAAACGTCCAAATAGCTTCACTGACGAACAGACTAAGTAAATAGTACTTACTGGTACTCCGTTGAAAGAGTAACGATGGAGTTTCTTACTCGTTCTTCTCTATTCGAATCTACAATTTGGAACGAGCACCTAGCTTCACTGACGAACAGACTAAGTACTATAAGTATGAACGAGTAAGAAACTCCATCGTTACTCTTTAAAAAAAATAAAATTTGTCGTCACAGACGAGCGACCAAAAAAAACAAAACAAAACTAACTACTTAAGCGTCCTATACACGGTACTAAAGCTTCCTTTACATCGAAATACATGCAAGCGCCATCCGTATGCGTGTATGTAAGACAAGTGTAACACTAAGCGGCGACCGGACTCGCGTCATACGTGTCCATGCATACAATATCGGTCGACGTCCTGTCACCCGATAAATCTGATATGCACTGATGAATGAACCTGTCACTGCACTTCCTAATGTGTGCACTGGCCGGCTTTGATTTGTTCCCAATGATATATTAGCTTTTATCACCGCTTTCCTCATTGCTGTTTCTGTCGGTCAAGATCTATGAGAGATAGAACGGTCCAGTCGTTCGTTTGTCGATAGTATCAGAATACTTGTGTTCCAGTAGGATAGATTTTATTTTGTAGCTTTTTTTTTATTAGTAGGCAACTACGGAGACATTCTAAAATTATTGTAAAAAAACACCTTTTTTTCTAAAACTAGCTATTGTGAAACTTATTATAGATTTATTGGAAACTAGCTGCCCTGGCAATCTTCTTTATGCCTCAAAATTAATTTGGTAGCGTTTTCTGACCTTTGAATCCTTCCCTGGGCTTCCACGAATATTTCAAGACCAAAATGAAAAATCTGCCCATTAATTTTCGACTACTTATTGACGACTTACTAAATAACTGTAAATGAACTGAGAAAATCTCTACTAGTTTCAAGTCATGAGCAGACAACGCCATTTATTCAATAAAAATAACTACTTACCCACCATTCTCTCCGGACTTCTTACTCCGACTTAAACACTAGTAGAGCTTTTCTCAATTCCACTTTCATTCCTCTCAAGCATTATTTTAAAAAGAAATGCTTTCCTTCTAATATCCTATATACCACTAGAAGTAGAAATAATTTAACTTTGAAATTAGGTTAAAATTTATCAAAATTTAAATTGTTAAATCGCATGGCTGTCACACTGTAGTTACATCAGTACTAAATAAGGTAAGCAAAAGTATAGTTGGTACTTACGGTATTGGCATCGAGCAGTTCCACGGAACACATCCTTTATCGTCGTCACAATATCCTTTACAGCTTGCATCACAAGACACAACACACACATTAGCACTGTTGTTACTGTACACGTACCCCTTCTTACAAGAACAGACATTTGGTGCTGTACAGAAACCATTAACACATCCCTTCGTACACTGGGGCTTGCAGACACCATTCACTTTCGCGTAACCTTTATGACACGTACATTTGTTAGGCGCTACACAGTCTCCATGAGAACAGCCGTTACACTTTGGAGTACAAACTGTCTTGTTCAGAGAAACATAGCCTTTATGACACGCGCACGTGTGAGGACCAACGCAATCCGCATTGATACAGTCACAGATCGGTTCGCAGATTGAGTCGTTTTTCGGTCGGTAGCCATCCGCACAGGTGCACGTATTGGGAGCTGTGCACGTAGAGTTGATGCAGGGTTGATCACAAACTGGGACACAATTGAGGTTCTCATCTGCAGTGTAGCCTTGATCGCATTTGAAGCAGTGTGTCGAGTTGTAAGGGGTGTAGTTTTCTTGGCAGATACAGGTGTTGTTGGCGTGGCAGACGGCGTTGAAGCATGTTGGACTGCAGATGGGTGTGATGCAGGTGTTCGGTCGTTCGGGGTCGAGGTAGGCTGGGGACAGACACTGGCACTGGTCTGGAGAGACGCACTTGCCCCCGTTGCAGCCTGTACTGCAGATGGGAGCACAGATGTCCTGTTCACTGTCGTGTTGCCAACCGTTGCAGCAGACGGTGTGATTCGTCCATGTAAGATACGTCTGGAAATAGGAAACAGAAGGTTTAAAGAAGTGAATTAAGTCATTATACTTTAATGATGAAATAAAAATAATGGATAAGTATGACCTCGTATTTATATCTCTTGACTACACACTTCCTTCGTCCACACCACTTGTTGATGGCAACATTGTATGGCTTTTTTCTTCTTTGCCGGGAACTGAAACAGTAATTTGCAATCAATATTTCTTATAAATAATATGTCAATAAATTAATCCTTATTCGAAGTTTAGAAAGGAAGGAAAGCAGTAGAACTACTACAATATTTTAAAATAAAATTAATTTGACATGTAAAACGTAGAATGTTCAAAACATCAAAATATATCCCAATAATACTATGACAAATATTATAAAAACAAAAATACAAACAAACAAATCTTATTATACAACAATTATTACATTGTGGTAAACAATAAACAACCAATAATTTATGGCAAGCACATACAACACACAGAACATAATAATTGCAATAAAACTTAAATATTACCTGAGTTTAACTACACAAACTCCTTCACCATTATCATCTAAAGCTTGTGTGTAAGTAACTAACTCAACTAAAACAATTATTATTAAACAAAACACAATTGTTTTTAAACACATCGCTAGAACACAACATAAAAACAAATACAAAAAAAAAGATTTTTTTTATTTTTAATTTTCAATCACAGAACCAGTGTGTCAGTCAGTCAGCTACGATACAATGATGTCCGCTATCTCCTAAACTATTCACAATACTCATATCTTTGGCGGAGGCGCCACTGTGAGCGATTTAGCGATAACCCTAGTTTTAATTAAACCTTTCGAAGTAATGGTGCGAGTAATTGTTCGTACACAATTAAGTTTCATTTTTATAGAAACGCTAATTAGGTGATGAAATCTTAAAGCTTTGAAACACAGTGTTTTTATGTACGTTTTTTTTTTCATTTCTTCCGTTAATCGTATTAGGAAATTGAGCAGAGATTTAGATCAAAAGAATGTTTCTTTTTATGTTTGAGACTGGTCCGCTAATTAATATATTATTTATAGAAAATCTTTTATTTTTAATACTTACTTTAAATAGACATGTCTATGTATACTAGTGTCAGATTCAGCCTGCTTTAAAAATAAACAAATTACTTGAACACGAATAAGATTTTTAAATTAGGAAGGCTAAATGCTATAGGCTTATTTTGTTTTCATTATTTTTTTATAATATTGTACTCGTAGGTATACGAGCAAACAGACTACCTGATGGTAAGCAATCAGTGCCGTCCGTGGACACCCGGAACAATGGAGGAGTTACTGGTGCGTTGCCGACCCGTTATCCCCATTTTGTAGATTTAGGGATTGGGGAGGGGAAGGATTGGGCCTCTGATAAACTCACTCACACTCGGTCAAGCCGACCCATTCGTGGTGAAAAATGGCTCTACGATGCTAAAAACTATTCTTTTCTTTTCACCACTCATTTACAAGCGCGAGCGGAAAGCTTCTCATAACATTAATCGCTTACAGTAACACACGACCCACAATAAATTATGATTATTAAATTGATAATTTACAAATGACCATTTTGAGCCTTATCGCCAAGTAATAAAGCCTCAATTGTTTAAAATGTGAGACAATGAACGTGCGCAACCGATTTGCATGCAGACCCTTATCCTTTTATTCTTATCTATTTATAGATTTCGATGTATAAGGAAGTTAAGTAATTGATGATAGTAATTAGCATTAATAGAAGACTATTAGCAAATTAGTCGGAAGTTTTTACTTAGAAATTTTATATATATATCTAAACGGTATGGCGATTACCTCGTTAATAGCTTTAAGGTTCAAATTCGAGATAAGCCTTTTGTATTTTTGAATTTCATTGTTTTCAAATATAAATTACACTGTTATAAACCTCACTCGGTAATTGTTCTGGGGATCACAAAATAATAAGATCCGATCTCAGAGCAACCTATTTTGTAAATACATTTAGAACCGATTCTTTTTTTCAAATTTATGAAAAAGTATAGTACTTAATCCTTTTTTAAACTTCACCGGTGATACGAATATTCTTCGCTTGCCAAATATCGTAAAAATTTCAAATTACGAATCTTAAACCGAGAGGTAAATTGAAAATAAGTTTTGTTTCACCACACATTTACAATGGGCTGGCGTTTGGCCACTATCTCACCAGCACGTCGATTCTATAAAATTTGTTTGATTTTGAATCTTGTTCGAGTGCGAAGTGAGCGTCGAAGTGACGGGGTAATTAAATTTTAGAATGCCACTTTTAACGTCATTTCATACTTTATCTATCAAAACGTTGCGGTCAATTTAGTTCAACTCGCAAGTGTAGCGATAGTGTACTACTTCTCACAGCGGATTCAGATCCGAAGTTTAGAATGAAGTCTTACAGAATCACACCCCTGGTGTTAAGCGATATGATGATAGATTGCATTATGCAATCTACGTATCGAAGTTAAGCCTATTATCCCATACTTACACACTACACACAGACTTCATGCTACTAATGAGAAGCTTTCGTAAATATAAAATGACTAGTTGGACTTTGCCCAAACCGAAAAATAAACCAAAGCCCCCTTGCTCAGCAATCACACTTGTGATAATTTGAACAACAAGGCAGTATAATGGTGGCCTGGAGGTTAAGGTTTGAAACCTAGCAAGTACCAATGTGACTTTTTCCGAGTTATATGTACTTCTTATGGTTATTTAGACACCACTGACATACGGTGAAGGTAAACATCGTGAGGTAACCAGGACTTATCATTTCTATCCGCCTTGAGCAAGCTTGCTTAACGCTTGCTTCTCCGTCTGAGAAGAGGTCTTTGCTCAGCAGTGGGCACTTATAGGCTGATGATGGGGTATGATGTGTAAAGGCAGTCTTGTAGGGCTTCTTATGCAATAGACACCTCTATTAAAACCTTCATAAACTAAAATTATGTTTGTCCGGAGCTCAGAAAGCTTGTTGCGAGATCAATGACTCTGCAGTGAAATGTTACGGATGCTGGCGATAACGCTTTATATTTATAATTTATAATATTGCGTTCCTGTGAAATTCTCGCTACATATATTGAGGCTATTAATGTGTTTATCCTCATTATTTGGAGCTCATCTTCCTCCCGCGTGATGAGTTAGGAAATACCGAATAGATTAGGTGCATGTTTAAAAGAAAAATATTCAAACTCTTTATCAAATGTTACTTACATAGTTACGACCCTTTTTAGTGGTATCATCAGGGCGATCTGATACCAATCTCCGACTTCTGTAAGCGAATTGTTCTAACCATGACGTTCTAAGTAAGATTGTTTTAATCTTACTTCAGTGTGGGTAAGGGAAAGAGCTATACAAGTTGTCTAGCTCTGTCTGTAGCACGTAACGTTTCGAGCGCGCCTCAAAGAGCCAATAGACCATTACAAGGCTGATGTACCGCCAGGATTGTGGGTGCAAGTGTAACAATGCGAAACAGGAACATGTTAGTTTTTAGTCAGTAAGATTCCGATACTCTTCTTCCCCCACTCAGGGTAGTAGAAAAGTCAAATGGGCATTTTTATTAAAGTTTGTATGTGGCGTTTAGGCGTTGTCCCCTTTAGTTTTTTTTTTTTCTCGTTTGATTGTAACATTTTAGCTGATTAAACTTTATTTCAATAGAAAACTAGAATGTTGGGCAATGTACTAAAACCCTATTTTTAGACATTTACCAGTATTTTAAAATAAAAATAAATAATTAAAATTTGAAAATGCCGTTTTTTCCGTTGTCCCACCCTGTGTAAGGCATATGTTTTGCCGCGTTATTTAAATTTGGATCGCAATATTCATATAATACTGACGTCATTATAAAGAACGCAAAGTCTACTTTTCATTCTAAGAATTCATATTTAATAAATATTTGTATAAAATAATAAAAAGATGTTTGAATAAATTGTTAAAAAATTGGCCCTGGTGGAATTTCCTACTGAGTTACGCAAATATATTCAGGAAGAATAAAAATTCTACCAACTTAAAACTTTTTTTTAAATTATGGCAACTCTACAATTTCATTTAGCAACTTCGCCATGTTGTTTTTTCGTTCAGTTTGACTTAAAACGTCACAAGAAGTGGAAGTTCGTGATAGTGCTGTTTAGAAATTCCACTGATTTACGGTGATAACGTTGTAAGTACGCTTGTTTTACTATTTCAAAGTATATTTATGAGAAGAATAATCTATCATTTGTTAGTTAAACAAGCATTTGATTGAATTAGACCTTTTATTTCACGAAAATTTTATAGAGAATTGACCCAACCCCAAAATCCGTTACGTCAGCTGAGAAACATTTTCTCAGCGGATGGATTTTCGTAACTCAGTGGAACATAAAACCTCGTGTACATGGTTATTTTAACCGACTTAAAAAGCAGGAGGTTCTCAATTTGGATTGTATTTATTTTATTACGTAAAACGTAATTTTACTCTGCATTTTTTGTAAGCTTTTACCTGACTTGCAAAATTATTTAATTTCAAATCTTAGAAATATTTCTTTGACTGCTTAGATTTTTTTTTTTAAATTCAATTTGAGAGATTTAGTTAATTTGGTTTGTTTGTTTTTTTTTTTTAGTTATGGAAGTGGTTGCCTTGAACCTTTAGGTTCATAACGTCAACTCAATTAGACATTTAGGGAATTACCATTTTTGGAAGTGGACGTTATGGGAAGTGGACTTTTTGGGAATTATACATTTGTGGTCGTTTTGGGAAAGTGGACGAAATGGGATATAGACATTTAGGGAATTATCATTTTGGGAAGTGGACGTTTTGGGAAGTGGACGTTTTGGGAGAGTGGACGTTTTGGGGAGTTGACGTTATGAACCTAAAGGGCCTTGAAATGTTGTCAATTACACGAATATAAGTTGTAACTACTTTCTGCTACCAGCATTACCGAGTGAAAGTAGTTTCTCCATACAATCTTTGGATCCCTGTTTCATCCCTTTAGGAAGAGAATTTTGGAAAATCCTTTCTTATTCTTTGTATACCTACATCATATAAGGCACCAAATCCCAGCGTTCTAAGTCCAAGGCTTTGGAGTGGTCGTTGATGAATCAAGGCGTCATCTTGAGTATTCTCTGTATTAGGTATTACATAATATTTTTTTTACTGTTTTTATTAGGTGTCAAAATGGCGCTTACCGCTGCAGAACGCATGAAAAAATATAGGGAAAAGTTGAAACAAAATCCACAAAAATACGAAGAGGTGAAGAAAAAACATGCAGAAAGAGTAAAAAAAAAAAGTAAGAAAATATCTGAGCTAACCGAAGATGAGAAAGAAAAAAAGCGAAAAAAATGGAGAGAACAGAAACGGAAACAGAAGGAAAATAAAAATCCAAAGAATGAAGATAAGAATTTGAGACCTAAACGGGACAGAACGTCGAAAAGAATTACATTGATGCGAAGATATAATGCCGCAATAAAAAGGATCAAGAATTTAAAAACAGCGCTTAACTCCTCTAAAAAGAGGTTCTATCGTTATAAAAAGGCAACTGATCACAAGATTCAAACTCTAAAAGAAACTATTAACAAAATGACAGCTAGAGATGAAATGTTGGAAAGTTGTTTAAAAGCTTCCTATAAAAAATGCAAAAAATATAAAGAAAAAAATATATTCAAAAATTTAGCTGTAAATAAATCTACAAAAAAATTAAAAATGAAAACTTTCGTATCTAAATTAATAGGTCTTAAAGGAATAGCACGAAGTAAATGGCAGACACCCAAAGAAAATGAGACCTGCAAAGAAATACAAAGCTTTTACATGAGAGATGACATAAGTAAAAGTACATCAGGAAAAAAAGAATGCCGCACGTTTAAAAAACAAAAGGAGCAAATAAGATATCTTACAGATACGTTATTTAATATTTATAAGATTTATCGAACGGAAGGTGGAACAAAATCGTTTGCCACATTTTATAAATATCGACCTTTTTTTGTCCTATCGCCTACTGTACAAAACAGAGGTACTTGCCTATGTATTAAACATAGCAATTTCGAAAAAATCTTTTCTTTACTGCAAAAAATTGGAGTGCTGCCAAAATATAAAACAGTAGAAAATATTTTCAGTCAATTAACATGTGATATTAAATCAAAAAAATGTATGTATGGAGAATGTGAGCAATGTAGAGAACATAAATTGGAATACGAGTTAAAGGACAAACAAATAAATGAAAAGACAGAATGGGAACAGTGGGAAAATGTTAAACATGAATACAAGGACAGTAAAAAAGGGAATAAAACAGTAAAAACGAAGCGAATGGCGAAAGTTAGAAAAACTGGAAACATAGAAACATTAATGCAGAGTTTTGAAAACATAATACCTAATTTCAAAAAACATTATTACAATTGGAAACATCAACAAAATCAATACAGAAAATGCATAACAGAACTTAAAGAAAATGAAGCAGTTATACTATGTGACTTTTCAGAAAATTACTGCAGCAAACTTGCCGAAGAAGTACAATCAATGCACTTCGGTGCATCAAAGCAACAATTTACCCTACATACAGGGATGATTTATTGGGCAGGAGGATCACAATCTTTTACCACAATTTCCGATAATAACAGTCATGATCCAGCAGCCATATGGGCACACTTGATACCAATAATAAAGATAGCCAAACATAAAAATCCTTTGCTTAAGGTTATACATTTCTACTCTGATGGCCCCTGCACGCAATATCGTCAAAAGAAGAACTTTTTTTTACATAATTTTTTTACATTCAAATTGGGTCTCGAATACTCAACCTGGTCGTTTACTGAAAGCGGCCACGGAAAGTCAGTAGCAGACGGCATAGGTGGCGCAGTGAAGAGGTCCTTAGACAAACAGGTTGCGTACGGCAAAGATATCTCCAATGGTGAGCAAGCTGTTGAGCTCTTATCAAATTCTATGAAATCGGTCAAATGTCTTTATGTCATCAACAGTGACATAGAAAATGTAGCGAAATTGGTTCCGAGCGATTTGACACCTTTAACAGGCACCATGCAGATTCACCAAATCATTGCTAATTCACCTGGCATTATTCAGTATCGATCGCTATCTTGTTTTTGCGGCTTGAAGAGAGGGTTGTGCGATTGCTTTGGTTTAAATACCCACACGTATGGAAAGTCAACAAAGAAAACTGAATTAAATCGCTCTAATCCATCTAATAAAGTTACAGTAACAGCCGAAATTCATGAGGTGCCAATTTCTCAGAAAACCAAAATAGCAACTTGTTCTTCCACACAAAAATATTTTGAACAAAATGAAGACATTATAGAACTAGACATAGAAAGAGATGAGGGAAAGTATAAAGAAGAACAAGAAAGAGTCGAAGAAATCAATGATGCGACATTTAAAACAAAAGAGGAAGAAAAAAACAGATTAGAAGAAGTGAATGATGGAGTGACAGTTGGCTGTAAAGATAAGGAACAAGACAAATTAGAAGAGACTATTAATGCGGTATTTGATTCTATAATAATTCCTTTAGATGATGATTTATTATTTAATTTAAATAATATTGAAGACCTTTCTAATTTTGAAATATTTAATGAAACAGGGTTAAAATCTGAAGAGAATAAACTTATTAGCCATAAATTACATAATGAACAATATAATAAAATAAGTAAGAAACGGTATTACACTAAAGAAGAAAACTGTGATATACAACCAAAAAAGATACCTAAAAGGAGTAAAGAAAATCATTCATATAATAAGTCCATTCGAAATGTCGTCAGCCGTCATGCTGAATGCCCACAATGTGAAATAAGAAAGCCATTGCAATTAATGCAAAAATGTATGGCATGTAAAAAATTTGTATGTCTCTCTTGCAATGATTGCCAAATACCAAAAGATTCTTATAACGATTTTATTTGCGATATTTGTTTGGGTGGATAAGTAAAACGTTTTAACACTTTAAAGGCTTGTGTCGAATAGGTCTATTCGCCAGGGTCGTGTGTTTGCGACTAGGTGCTCTGTCTCGTTTAGCTGTTCAATCACCATAGGTAACAGAAGAACTGACGAGATGGAATATTTGGCCGTGAACGTGCGATTATGTTCGAATAAACAAGGAAAGTAAATTTAAAAAGAGAATTAAAATCATTAATGTCAGTCAGGTCTTACGGCTTCTTTTAAATTTTCCACCAAATTATATGTTGTTAAATTAATGTTTTAAAAATAATACTAGATAAAGTACCATGCGACAGTTAAATAAAAGAACTCTACGAGTATACCCAAAAACGTTCAACTGTAGAATCGTTATAGTATTATTATTTTTCAATTAGCTTATTTTTATAACATTAAGTACCTATTTAATTTCTTTTTTATTCTTCTAAGTAGTTGATGTAAACTAAGCCTTACATTTTCCATACCGATCCACTGAGTGACGGTCCACCTGTTGTGGTAATTAATTTTGGTTATTATTTTTGTTATTAAATGAGGAAGATCTCAACATTTTGTTTAGATTAAAAGTACATTATGCTATTATAACATAAGTAGTATAAGTTTCCTATTTGATCTCATAATTGCCAAATATACGGAAAGATATTGTGTACAATTTATCTTATTGTAACTAAGAGGATACAAAGTATTGATTTTGTTACGTTATTTAATTCTTACATACATTTTCAGAAGATTTTTTGAAAAAGCGTTTAATTTTCTAATAAAAAAACTATTTTTCATATTTTCTATCTTTTACTTGGCCTCTAAATAAAAATAAGTAATATGTAACGCAGTGGAAGAAGATTATACGTAACTTGATATTTAACAGTAATTTTCTCGGTATTTAACCCAGTTTTCACTCGTTCTTTGTTATTTCCACATAATTTAGATGTTCTGAAATCGATTTAAATTAAATAAAACCCAATATAATGATATTTTTTTTTTTTACTATTTTTGCGCAACTGACAAACTTTTATAAAATTGCCCACATGTAAAACAGCTTTCTGATAAACCTTAACCTATTAAGCTACAATCTCCAATCTTCCTACCAAGCCTGACAATTCTCTTATGTTTTTTTATGGTATAAGTCGGCAAACGAACAGACGGATTACCTGATGGTAAGCAATCGGCGCCGCCCATGGACACCCGCAACACCAAAAGCAGTGACAAGTGCGTTACCGGCATTTGGGGATTGGGTGTTGCGGATATAAGGATTGGGAAGGGATAGGGGAAGGGGAGGGATTGGGCCTCCGGTAACCTCACTCTCACGGCGAAACACAACGCTTTGGGTTGTTTCATTCCGGTATTCTGTGAGGCCGTGGTATCAGTCCGCTCGAGCCGACCCATTCGTGCCGAAGCTTGGCTCTCCCACACTTGTGTGTGGAGAAGACCTAAGGTTCTGCGGCACACTGACATGGGCGGTTGGTGTGATAATGGAAACCAATCCCTTTAGTAGTTTGCTCTATTGTTGCATAGATTACAATATAGATTAAGGCCAAAGCATCCTATCAAGCTACAAATGGTCATTCACCTAAATACACGTAGGTAACATTGTTCTACAGGCAACGAAATTACCTAGGAATATTGGACCAAATCACTATTCAATTAATTTTGTTAAGACATTTTTGAAACAATTAACGAAAGTTTCCTTTTCATTTTTTTATTATCTTTGCCTCACGTTAAGGGGTTCTCATAGGATTAGGATGTTCATTAGTTAATTAGGTTAACTGCAAATTGTTAAACTGTCACTTACAGCTCAGCGAATCCTAGTTTAAGTGACTGTGATTGTGTGTTGTAATGTAAATAAAGAATTTTATATTTTGTTGTTTTCTTTTTTGTATTTTTGTTCGTCGTAGGTGCGTTTACGAATCTATAATTTCACATACACATCACACCCAGACCTTGAACAACAATGTGTGGATCACCCAAAGCGTTGTTCCGTGCGAGAATCGTACTGGCTACACATTGCTCGGTCCTCGACCCAACCGTGCAGTCAACTTATAAATTAAAAAAAAAACAATCCGGTCCACCCAAACGTGGTGCGGGTTAGTTTTTAAATTTCAACTCACTATTTATCAAGATGACTGACAGACTAACAAAGAGATGGACGGACGAAGAGCGGAGTCTTTTTTTTCTTTGTCAGTGGAAAATCATCAAATTACTTCTCCCGTCCAGGGTAAGGCGAGACTCTTACTGACTAAAAACCCACCCCTCTTAATCCGTTCCTTCTCCTTGCGATTAACCCGTAATCCTGGCTGAACATCAGCCCTACAGGGCCCCGTCTGTAGTGGTCAATTGGCTATTTGAGGCGCGCGCGGAACGATACGCACCGTCCGCAGCACCCGCGCTTACGGTGGCCCGAGATCATCTCTCAATCGGCTGGGAGGAGGACAGTTCCCTCACGCGCTCCGCCTCCTCCTTTGCGAACATCACAGCTTTGCAGAAAGAGGAAACGGCTTCCCAGTTCCTCTCGCTACGAACCATGGCCTCGACTAAGGCCGAGCGCGAGAGGTCGCCACCTACGATCACTTCCCCGAGGACACGGCGGTGCTAAGCCCAAGCAGGGCACACCGCCACCGTATGGTGTGTCTTCTAGGTGGTCCTCACAATGACGACACTCGGGCTTTTCCTCCTTGCTCATGCGGAAGGTGAAGACGCCATGGCGTCTCCAAAGCCACTACTCAAAAAGGGTTTTACCGCTGCTATAAGAGCGAATTCTTGGAGTCTTAATAGCGTTCTCATTATCCTTTCATTACTAGAACACCGTTAGTATTTTGTGTTTTATCCAACAATATTTCGGCGATTTTTTGCATTGAAAATGGGATGGAGCCTCCGGTAACCTCACGTACACAGCTAAATAAAAAAGCAAGTATTGCTTCACGCCGGTTTTCTGCGAGGCCGTGGTATAACTCCAAATATTAGTGCGTAAGCATGGCTCTCCCACAATAACGATGTCCAAATAATGAACTTGTTCTAAATATATATGTCACATCAAAACATCGCAAGCGGAAACATGTACTACGTTTAAGGAAAAATGAACTTATTAGGAACGCCTGTATCGTTTGTGGAATGAATGATGTAATCTATATTTGTTGAACCGACAGTCAGCTACCAACGATGACAAATAGGTGTATTCTGTGTAAATGTGTATTAAAAATAAATTTTGATGTGCAAAATTGTTAAATATGAAGAAACCGATATATTGTGCTATTGTGTACTTCATTGTAAGTATTGTTTTATAATACTATATGACTGAATGGCAAACGTGCACACGGATTACGTGTTGGTAAGCAATCGGCACCGCCCATGGACATCTGCAGCACCAGAGGGGTAATGAGTATGTAGCTGGCCTTATAGGGATTAGGGTTTTGGAGATTTAAGGATTGAGGTAAGGAAATAACTGGAGGTCCAAACTCCAGTAACCTAATTCACACAGCGAAACACAACGTCTTGGTTTTTTCACCCCGGGTTTTCTATGAGGCAGTGGTATCTCTCCAGTCGTGCCGAATCATGGCTCTCCCAAACTTGAAAGCTACCGTCGTCTTGTATAAAGTAATTTGTTCAGCTTAATTCAGTTTTATTGCTACTTAAGTTGGTTAAAGAAACAAGGCAAGAGATCTGGGCGAAGTATCGTCAATGTTTTTGTATTGTGACTCGTCCAAATGAGAAATGAGAGAAATTTTGATGTGAGATAAATTACTAATAATGATACTATCCACGACAAAGTTATTCACAAATTGGTCGCGTAATACATTTATAATGTTCTCTAATACCATAAAAAATATTGGAAACCGGTAGTTTATCCTGTAATATGTGTAGTGGTGACCTTTGCTTCCTTCTCTCTTTCTCTTCTCAATTTGTATTTAACATACAGATCCCCTTCGTGGTCGATATATGTGAAGCTACGTGCGAGGAATATACCATTATATTCTCAGAGACTACATGGCCAAGATATATTCTGAAACCTTTAACACGGTAAGTTCAGTTATTTATCAATCAATTACCTCACAAATAGAAAACTCTAGTCTCTATATTAAGCTACATCAAAGACAATATCAAATCTTCCTTGCGTTCTATAAACACTTTTTCTTTTAGAATCAATTCTTAAAATTAAGAAAGTTTTATTTTATTTATTTATCATATTAACAGTAAATACAGGATTATCTGTTAAAATAACAACCCACTAAGCGTTAATGGAGTTTTGCTTTCACGAATTTATCTTAAAATTGAGACTGCTAATAGTTGTGGTAAACTTAAAATTAACGGTCCCTGCATAGACTTAGGTACACATTCCTAAATAATACTTATATAATATTGCTATTGAATAAATTATTATCTAATTGTTATTAAATCTCTTGCTTTTATATCAGATATATCTCTAGCAGTCATATACCTTTTGCTGTAGTCTTTTTGGGTGTTTACCAGTGAAATTAAAGTAAAGTCTTTATTTCACACAATATTTGTTATTGATTTATTTATTTATTTATTTAAAAAAAGGTACACCAACAGCTTCTGTATATAGCAAATTAAATAAAACAATGAAACATTAGGTTTTGGCCTTATACAGTGGCCAATTACAGGTAACCAGCATTCTTAAAAATAAAGTGATAACCTAGTAGAGTAAGAATTGATTAATAAGCATAAACAACGACTGTGGCTGGGCAACAGGCTGCCGTGCCGCGCGCCGAGGTTTCGATTCCCGCATGGAACAACACTTTGTGTGATCCACAAATTGTTGTTCCGGGTCTGGGTGTCACGTGTTTGTTTGTAACCGCATCCACGACACAGGAGAAAATCCTAGAGCAGGGAATAGCTTTTTTTTAAAAAAAAAGTTATGCGTAAGACCCCAGACAGAATAAAAGAAGGAATGGGATAGTGTTTAATTAGTTAAAGTCTGACACTCCCTCTCGCCCCGCCTCCGGTGGGAGAATTGATTTGATAATTTCCATCCTCAAAAAAACAAACACAAATATGTTGTTATTAATGCATATAACCACTTTTTTTCAGCCAAAATATAATAAATTGGGTTGGATCGAATGATTGCGAATACTGCAATTCAACAGAAATATATTATCAAAACAAAGAATGCCTCCTTGAATTTGAATGCACGGGCAGATTTTTTTCATGTATAGATCATGTAAAACCAATCAATAACCAATTTCATGAAGTAATACCTGATGATCATCCAACTCCTAAAGTCATTAAGAGAAATTTAAACAATAGTACAGTGTATGAAAATAGTAACAAAACTGATGAACCTATCTCTACACCCAATGAAGAAGATGAAGCTTTAATGTTCAATGTACACTTAATTTATAATAATCTTAATGACGCTTCCAATGCAAAAAATAAGGAATTAAAAAACAATGATCAAATTATCTGCAAATACGCCGAAATAGTTTGCAATGACGACGGAACAACAGACGAGACCACTTCAAAACGCTTTGAAAATACTGACAGATATTTTTATGATAATTCTACAAGCTTTTTGAATATTTCCATCGACCGGGATGAAACTAGCCCTTTACAACCAATATTTACGGGCTACTTTCCTGAAGTATCAAAAAAAGCTTTATTTTCTTATGAGAATGATTTCAAATATCAAAAAACAGCATCTTTAAAATGCCCAATACTAAAGAACGATACAAGCAAATGTAGTATGAATAAATCTATTCATGTGTATATTAAATCGACCTATATACAAAATAATACAAAAACATATTACCCAAACTGTACAATGGACACTAAAATAATACACAACGCATTTAATTTGATATGTGATAACGTATCATTTGGAAAATATAATAAACATTTAAAGTTAACTTCAAATCCCGACCTAAAACAAACACCAACACCAATATCTGATGGAACAGAGAAACAAGACATTCGAAGTTTGAGCTGCCAAATAATGGAATTCAAAGACTTTCCAACAAATAAAGGACTAGATAATAGCAGTGAAATTTATTTTGAAAATTGTTCCAAGAATCACAGTTGGAAATCGATTACAGATGTTTCAGAAAAAGGTAAAACAACAAACATAACTTCAAAAAACTATATAAATATAATCGTGAATGACATTGCCAATTGTACCCATAATCAAACTTTAAACATCCAACAAGGAAAGTTCATCAATTTTGAAGTAAACGATAATATACAACATATTCTTAAAAATGATGAAGTTGAAATAAATCTTCCTAATTGTATGGACAATTCTACTGTTAATAGTACTAAAAATATACCCGAAACAAAAGTGGATTTAACTATATTTCTTAAAAATGAACCAATTAATGGTTCTAGTTTGAAATTATTAAATAGAGCGCCTAAAGATACAAATGAAACGGAAAAACTATTTCTGCAGTGTGGTCGTTCAAAAATGTTCAACAACAAAACAATGAAAACCCGTGCTGTGCTACAAT